AAGAAGGAAGAAGAGAAGAAGGGAGAAAGGAGAAAGGAGAAAGGAGAAAGGAGAAAGGAGAAAGGAGAAAGGAGAGAAGGGAATGGGAAAAGAAGGAAGGAGAGAAGAAGGGCAAAGGGAGAGAAGACAAGTGAAGGGGAAGGGAATGAAAGGAAGGGAAGAAGGAAGAAGGGAGAGAGAAGAAGGGGAAGGGAAGAAGGAAGACAGAACCAAGGCAAGGTTATCTTGAGTTTCTTTCTCCTGCTTTCCATGTTCCCAGGGCTGAGTTGCCATTTCTCTCCCCTTCCATTCCTTCCTTCCCCAAGAGGATCCATTCCTTTCCTAAGGTCACCTCTACAATCCTTTACAGAACTTCAGATACTGCCGAGGGGTGAATGGAGAACGGTGCAGATTAAGTCCTGGACTTCCGCAACATCCAGCCGAGGGAACAGTTCTCGTTCCCCAGAATCCCCAAGAAGTTAGGGGACCGAGAGGACCAATGCCAAGCCATCATATCCTACAGTCATCAAATTTTGCTTCACTTCTCTGCCTCTGCCTGGTGGGAAAGCCAGGTTTGATTTCACAAGCTAAGTTGTTCAAGGGACAACTAACTCCCTCTTAGGACACCATGCCTACGTCCACGCCACAATTTTACCTGTTGAATGTAATGCCTTTGTACGGAGCTCATGTTGACGGCCGGTCCGGAGGACTTCCCACTGGGGCTAGCAGAACTGGGCCTGGGAAGGGAGGAGAAGGGGATGGTAGTGGAAGATAAGAAACAGTAGAGAGAAGAACATGAATCATCATTTACAGTCAAGAATGGATTCACTGCACAAGCTTGGTGTGAAAGCAATCAACCTTTCCAATAATCCTCAATGCTCTATGAGCTGAATTCCCAACGTAATTTGAATCAACTTAACTTCTCAAGGCAATTCCCAGCTACTCATGGACTCTATTTGTAAATGTTGAGCTTGCAGGGGAACAACCTCCCTTTTTCTTGCCTTGATTTTACAAGGGCTTATGCTGTAGGATAATCAAGCCTCCAACAAGGAAGAAAAAAATGTTCTTGCGTTGCAACAAACCACAATTTGAAAAGACTTAGACTAGTGGGATGGGAGAAGCCAGCCCATCTTCCCTTTCCAGGGTCTTCTCTGGTACCTTCTGCAGATGAAATGGGCCTACAATCCAACCAGTGGAGAAGACCCCTTTTAAGGGGACAATCTCGCTAGAAATAAGTAAAAATGCATTTCTTACAGCTGGAACCCCACTGCCCTCTTCTTCCCAGCCAAATAAATCCAAACTTTGCATTTCACCTATAAGCATGAGAAGACGGAATGGATCCTCCAGGGACTATGTTCTGTTTAGTGTCTGTGAAGGGGAATCCTTTGATTTCCATGTGAGAGGACTAGAAGAAAAAAGTGAGCAAAAAACAATGGTTTATCTGCAGGAAAGGGGACGTTAGAGACATATGGGCTAAACCTTTTGGTGTCCCACCAAACCACAGCTCAACAGCTTTTTTTGAAATAAGCTTTCTGGAGCACCGCACCCGCAGAGAGGTGGGGCATGAAAAACCGGCTGGGGAAAAGGGACTGTTCCGTTTTTTTCTAGTTCCCCAACTCTTAGGGAAGAGCGTCCAGGGTTGTTCAGAATTTCAAATTTCCGAAAGCCAAAATGTGAGCTCCGTGCCACCTAATTCCATTCAGATGCTTGGAGGTTCTAAACCTGCATCTCTAGAAGGTGTTCACAGGCATGCGGCCAAGGTAGGCCCCATGCAGCCTACACTGTAGTAGCCAACTCTCAATGATAGGAAGGTTTCTATTGAAAGGAACCCTCACGAAAATGTTATTTTAAGAATAACTAAGGCATACATGCACACAGACACAGAGTCACGACTTACCTCCCTGTTTGTAGCAAGGACAGAGGGCTGGGAATTGGGAGACAGGATCCTACGCGGAGCTCCAACTGGGAGGTTCTGGCCTTGGGGCAGTTGGATGGACTGTGACAGTAAGAGAGGCTGTTGGCCAGAACCGTAACGGGCCATCGGAAGCTGGGATCCCGGAATTGACATTGTCAGCTGTGGGTTGACAAGCAGAGAGTCATTCTACGGAAGGCACCCGTTTGACCAACCACTGAGTTTGGGACGGTGCCCAAGTGCCACTGGCATGAATAAATGTCATTCAGCTGTTGTCTCTCTACAAAAAGGAGACCCCCTTTCCGCTCGTGGTACAACTGGTGAAAACTAGACCACCTTTCTGTAACTCCTCAAGGATGGTTTGAGCTTCACGACGAGATGTTTTCTCGCTGGGCAAAGTAACAATTAGTCTAGTCCAGTGTTTCTGAACCTCAGCAACTTTAAGATGGGTGGACTTCAACTCCGCACGCTGGTTGGAGAATTCTGAGAGTTGAAGTCCATGTACCTTAAAGCAGGGTTCCTCAACGTTGGCAACTTTAAGACAGGTGGACTTCAACTTCAAGGCTGGCTGGGGAATTCTGGGAGTTGAAGTCCACCCATCTTAAAGTTGCTGAGGTTCAGAAACACTGGACTAGACTAATTGTTACTTTGCCCAGCGAGAAAACATCTCGTCGTGAAGCTCAAACCATCCTTGAGGAGTTACAGAAAGGTGGTCTAGTTTT